TTACGATTCAAAACAGTAGCAAAATTACAGTTATGAAGTAGCAACGAAAATAATTTTATGGTTGGGGGTCACCACAACATGAGGAACTGCATTTAAGGGTCGCGGCATTAGGAAGGTTGAGAACCACTGTTTTAGATCATTCCCACCTGTTAATATCAAGATCCCATTTGTGGAAGGCAGTTTCCTGTGGGGGTTCCGAATATGGATTCTGGAGTCAGACGACCTACCAACCAACCTCAGCTCCATCACATCCCAGTTGAGAGAACAGAACGTGAGTATGTGAGTCTACCTCTGTAAGATCCTCCCCATCTCTAAAATGGGGAGAATCAAAGCACCTCTCATGGGATTCTTAATGAAGATTAAGTAAGATCATCCACGGAAAGCATTTAGTACCATGCCTGGCACATATCAAGGGCTGGGTTAATGTGAGCAATTATGATTATTATTATATTGTCTCTGAAATGCTTGTCAGCCTTCAGCAACATCTTGAGCGTTTCCAGGCATAGCAACAAGGCAGTGAGAAAGCAGGAGGCATAAAGGTAAATGTGTGAGGGTGGCCACATTGGAAGGTGGTGAAAAAGCTGCTAGCAACACAGCAATTCATCCGTTTATTGAAATACGTTACGATATTTCTGTACCAGGCCACAAGACTTGTGTTTGAATTACAACTGGTTTCAACAGGAGTTGAGGCGGGGTGACTGTCCCCCACGGGAACATTTGGTAATGTCTGTAGACATTTTTAGTTGTCACAGCTGGCGCTTACTACTGGCATCTAATGGGTGCCAGAGACGCTGCTAAACATCCTACGATGCACAGGACAGTCCCTCACAGCAAAAGAATTATGTAGCCCAAAATGTCAAGACTACAGAGGTTTGAGAAGCCCTGAATCATAACGTTGGGTGACATTATCTTAATAAGACTTGACACATTTTTTCAATTTTCAAAAAGGCAATGACATGGAAGATTCTGCACTGGATGGGAGGAGGTGAGAATGGGTGACGTCTAAGATTCCTTCAACTCTAAGGCTTGATACATGTAGTTGACCCTCTACCACAAACTTAAGTCAATGGAGCATCTTCACACTTTTCCCCTTTGCCTACTCCTTTCCATAGAGACAAACTGAATTTTTTTTAAAGGTGGTAAGATATTAGAAGGTAACCCTATGGCTTTATGGGAAATGTTTCTTGCTAAAACAAAGAACATTAATGACAATTAGAGAATTCTGAAGCGGGAAGAAACCTTAGAAATGATCTAGCAACTAGGTTTTAGTGGAAATCTTTCATCATATTTCACAAAGGAATAACTGAGACTTAGAAACGCCAAGAGACTTGACCTAGGACATAATGTTACAACCATCAGAAGGTCCAGATTCTTCCCAAATATTTATTTAACTTATTAGTCAGACAGTGATAATATCAGGGATCGCTTCTTTGTGCAGTTGCTTTGCATTTTTTCCTGATGATCACAGTCTATATATATATTCCCGATGATCACAATCTATTTCCTATTTCCAGAAATCCCAGAATATAGGTTTCACCTGATGAGGTGGTGGCAGCACAAGTTAAAAAAAAAAAAGATTCAAGAGCACTGAGGGAAAAAGAATAAAACCTGCCTATTAGACGGTGACCATGACCGATGAAGGAAGAGGGGAACTAAAAAGGTGACCAGTTCCCAGTGAAGTGACCAGAGGATGCTGGTGGTTCAATAGCACATGGGAAAATCAGGAGGTGATTTGGGGTAGCAGGTCGCGTAGGTTGGGTTTCAAGTGCTGTTTTGGGGGAAAGAAGCTGAGGGGATGAACAGTGTCAGGGAGTTCCAGCAGAACTCGAGTGGGAGAAACACACCGACTTTGTTGGCTATGAGGCAGTTGTGGTCCCTAGAAGGACCGGCTTCAGGAGTAAACTCCAGATAACTCAGAGGTAGCAAAAGCACCAGGGTCCTCAGCTCCTGCTGGCTCTGATGTGCTGCAGTGAAATGATAACCTGCTCAGCTGTATAATAACGTGTATAATAAAGCTGTTTCCCATGGGGGGAAATGATGCAAACACAAGCGAGAATTAATTTAGGATCGGGGTGCATGGGAAAAATAAAGATAAGATTAAAAGATGATTTGGGGATGCTGCCAACCTCTTTGCTTTTCACCAATTTGCCCCCACACTCCTCACTTCCTAGAACTCAGGGACTCCACCAGACTCGCGGCCTGTCCCGAGTTTTTCCTTGAGTCTGGGGCACCGCGTCCATCACCGGTGTCCTTTCCCTTCAACACGTGTGTTCACAGCAGCACACAGCCACTCGTCCCCCATCACTGCTGCCGAAGTTCCACTCAGCGGGCCAGGCAAACCCCCCCCACCCTCAGTCACCCCCAGCTTTCTGACCTGGGGAGTCACCCCAGCAATGTCAAGACGAGGAGGGCAAACTTGCCTCGATGTCTTTCCATCAAAGGCCACCTTTGGCTCATGCCAAATCTGTTATCCTAAGACATTTTTATTCATTTTAATGGACTAAAAAACCAAGCCAACGTTTTTTTTTTCTTATCATTGAAGTCTATAGGAAGACCTGCCCCACTTCTGCCAGGGGCCACCACTTCCAAAGGCAGCCAATAGCAGCAGCAAGCCGAGGGGAAATACATCTGAAATTGGGCTTGGATTCTGTGAAAGACAACCGCAGTGACGGCGAACGCTCCATGCAGCACAGCCAGCGCGCCCACACACTCACGGCCACTCACTCACACAGCCAGGTGGGCACTCAGGACGTGCGTCTCCTGCCACATACACACTCACACAGTTAGAGTGCGCTCTCTCATTCCACCTCCAGGACCATCCATAGTCCACATGTACCTGGTTACACACACGATATAGATGCACAGCCTATGCTCGCTCGCTCTCTCCCTCTCCGTCTCTCTCTCTCTTTCATTCACACACACAACACCCTTACACACAGCCTCCCAGAGCCGGTGAGCCCACAGCCGTTTCACTAGTACTTACGAACACAAGTGCTGGGCACTGGCCCCGACCCTCCAGCGGTCCCACGCTGGAGACGCGTCCCGCACAGGCAGCCAGCCCACCTGCAACCTGAGCCGCGGCGCAGCCCATCCCTGCGGCAAAGCCCCGGCGCTGGAGTCCGGGGGGGCCCCCCAGCCCCTCCCCGGGTCCTGCCACCCCGCCCCCGCCGCGTCCCCACCGGCACACGCGGGCTCCAGGCTCCTAACCCCCGCGCACCAGCCGCACCTACCCGCTGCCTGCGGCGACGGAGCCGGGCGCCGGGCGGACTGGAGCGGCCACCCCCAGCCGCCGAGCCGAGCTTCTG